AAAACGCAATAATAAACTTCTATATATTTGAGAAGTTATATATGCGTGAGGAACACATATAGTTATTTAAACTAGCTTCAAAATAAAAAACAACAACATTATTTAAAGCTTTTCCAAATCACCTATAACGTGTCTATAGAGGATAAAAGCGCCGAAAAAGATTTGCAGAACATCTTTCAGATAATTTAAAGGTGCATTTACTTATATATCTTTGAGGTGAGGATCTTCTATTTATGCTGCCAAATATTCAGACAGGAATTAAGTATATTTGTATTATCATCGATAAATTTGACTTTATGAAGTTCACATAACTGCCTGAGACCGACACGGAAGGACGATACTCGAAAATACGCCAGCTGTTGAGTCTTCGGCAACGTGCTTTTGTTAGCTGTTTTGCAGTGTAAAATACTGGGTTGTAGGGTATGCCAAAAAACACTGTGGTCACATGATATATCGCAAGGCAAATACACGAAATGTGCAGAAATAAGGAGATGACACGCAATTTGTTCTAAATAATCCATTACACAACGCTTTACTGCAAAAAGAAATGCATAGAAATGCGTACAATTATATCCCTAATTAAACATAGATTCCGCGCAGGGCAAAAGAAGATTTTTGGAATCCTAATATAAATCACTTTTGGGCGTCAGCTTGCCTCAGCTCGAAACGTCGCGAGATACTACCTCGGGAGGCTAATGTTACCTTAGGTTTTACGTGCACTTGTTTTGGGGCCTTACTTCACGACTCTGCTCTTTGTCAGTCATGTGCTGCAACATTTCATTAGGCTGCCGTATATCATCGCGAGACTGCTATAAATACTACACAATTTTACACCTTGGACGTATACTGCTAGTGTTGCGAACGTCGCACTTCACCAGAAAGCTGAAGTATTTAACATGGTTTGCACGTGACGTAATCGCACTAGATACTGGTTGTCATTGAAAGTTGTTCTTGCTGAGAATATCAAATCCGATGGGGCAAAATGCACGCTGCAAACTTTTCGCGCTCAGTGCAAGCTATGTATTTGAGAGGCACACATTTTTTTTTGTTGGTGCATCGTCGTTAGACACGGCGCGAGTATCTGGCACGGCGAAAACGCTCTTTCTGGCAAGAGTGTTTTTACAAATAAAAGTTGTACCAGCTACCCATCTGTCACTATCGTTTCCAGGCCACGCTTTCTAGTCTGCGCCGAAAGTGCGGGGTAGAGGAATCTTTACGACACAGTATGCTTTAAAACTACCCCCCTCCCCACTCCCTTTTTTTTTTAGTTGCTCCTCAAGATACTTTTTATTCCTCAGGGGTTGCCTGCTCCGTATTGAGTGGTGTTCACTCGACAATTATATTTGTGTCATTCGTTAACAGTAATTCTTCCTTGCTTTTACTTTGCACCAAACTGTGAAGGTTAAACAAAATACAGGGCGGTCGAAACTTGGAGAACTTGAAAACGACACTCCTGTGAGACTTAGAGCGGCTGCCAACGTTTGGCTATCCCCGTGAGGCCACTAGGATCTTTCTTTTCAGGTATCCCTCACGTAGACACTAATAGTTCCATGTAACGTCGGACTAATACGTCACATTTAGACCCTTTAACACTTCTATTCTCGGTACAACTTTCTGAGGCAGTTCAGCAATAACGAAAACATGTTTGGGAGCCTCAATGGTGTGCATACATGTAAAATGGGCCGTGCAGCATTTTTTTACCTTCAGTTCAATAAATACCGCTAAGTTGTAATCCCTGACGTTGATAACTTGCAAAAGCATCCATTAGTTTGCCCCTCCGAGATATGGGAGACAGTCGAAAGAAAGAAATGAAACAGCTTTCCCCTCCTCAACTCGCAATTAGAACTATCAGCCACGTGATCTGATCCTAATATATGCAGCGTCAGTGTTTATCATAGTCATAAGCAGGGTTGCCAAAGCAGAGCATGGGCTAATCTTCAGATATAGTTTTAGTTGGGCTATAATGGGGCCCGAGCCCCACTAAAGCGACAAACAGGAACAAACGACAGCGGCTAGCCTTAAACCAGAGTATTTCGCAATTTGACAGGCTTTGTAGAATAAAGAAGGCTATGCTCAAACACGAGTATCATGCACACGATGGTACCATTTACAGGCTTGTAAACACTCGTGCTAACTTCGCGAGGACCGAACAACTCAAAGCCGTATAAAGGTACCATCGCGACCATGCTGCATGTGCCTGAGGCTTGTCGCTTTCGTTTGCTTCTGCTTCTAGCTCTAGTGGGACTCGGGCCCATCATAATCTTTGTGTTGAACACGAGCCGTTACCCGAATGTTTGGCGATACTGGTTGTCATGAACCAGAGCATTTGACTCGGGATCATGACAATCGGGTACATCATGATGTCACGGAACTCTCAGTGCGAAGTTGTGATTTCATGTGACGTCACGGTATCAACAACGTTAATAGATCTAGCGACGTCCTCAATTGGAATCGACTTTACGCGGTGAGTCACGTGACGTCACGGGGTCACGTGATGTGACATTACTTGACAGCATGTCTTGACATTATGACGTCACGTGACGATGTGACACATGGCTATCCATCGTGCCAATAAGAAAGCGCCGCAAAAAAACCAGGATTTATTATACATTGGAATTCTGTATATGACGATTTGATCAATACTTAGAGGAATTCACGTGCCAATTTTTTATTCCCAAATAATAAATTTGTAATACTAACAAAAAAAAATTACCGTGAACCGTTTTGAACCGGTTACCGTTATATTTTTTTCCGGTTCCGTTCCGGTTCAGTTCCAAGATGGCGGCGAAGATTTCGGTTCGGTTCAGTTCCGGTTCGGCTAAAAATAACGGTTCTGTTCCGGTTTTCGGTTCGGTTCGGTTCCGGTTCGACACCCTGCTCAAGGGTGCCCGAAAAAAGCACGTGTACAACACGTGCCGGAACGATTGATGGCGTCCGCCTCAATTATCTCTCTAACAGTCTTATCTTTGTGCCTAGCGAGAACAGTGGAAGAAGCAAATAATGGTTAACAGAAAAAGAGTATTTGCGGTCCGCGGCGGGGCCACGGATCGGTTGAGATGTGGTGCGGTGACGCAGTGTGTATCTACGCTGAGGCTCTTGGATTAAATCAGTTGAAAGTAAGCGCTCTGTGGTGTTCTTCTTCTTTCTATGTCTTGAAGCGCAATCATGTTTTCTCACGCACAATACCAACTCGCCCAACAATCAGCAATGGTAGGAGAGTTCTGAGGGAGACCATATGCGTATTGTGACCTCTGGTAATTGTGTAAGCACACCGTCCTTAGCACTGGACAGTGATATGAAGCGTTTTTTGTGTCTCTATAAGGTCCTGTTTTGTGGGTTTTCTAAAAATTGTAAGGGCTGCGCTGGAGCTGGAGTTGCCTGTTATCGCATGTGGCTGGTCAGCCCTCAAGCGAGGTCATCAGGGTGGCTGGTTTGTGTGAATCATTTAGATATGTCTGAATCATGAACCATGGGTTCTGTCTGAGTGTCCGGCTATCGGTGACCTAGTGAAGGGGAGGTGTTTCTTTTTTTGGTGGTGAGGGTCTTGAGGTATATGTAACAACGTTCGTTGTTCAAATAAACTACAAACTGTGCTTGAGACTTGTTGTTTTGTTCATTCTTTTTTATCGTTCCGTGTCTCCATTTTCTATGGAACTTCTACATTTATTGATATATTTACAGGAGTAAAAATGAAAGGGAAAAAGCATACAGACACAAGTGTATCTATTCATTTTTTATGCATAATATAGTAGGTATAACTTACACAGAAGCAGAAAAAAAAAAGCACCAATTACCCCCCCCCCCCCCCCAAAAAAAAAAAAAAAAAAAAAAAAAAAAAAAAGATGGTGGCGCCGGCGGCGCGCCGAATTTATTGTGCGGCGGCGGCGGCGGCGTGCTGGCTCTGGGGGTTCCGGCGGCGGCGCAGGGCGGCGAGAGCAAAACAGGCGGCGGCGGCGGCGCGGCGCGGCGGCGCACAGGTCTACACTGGCCGCAATGGCCGCACTACAAGTCGCGCGCCGCCGACGCCGCCACGAAAGGAAAGGGAGGCGGGAAGTTATTTGCGCGGGAAAGAAGCTGGGCACCTTTTCGAGGAGATGTGCGAATTAGGTAAGTAACTTTTAATTACTATTCAATGTGCATTTGCAGCGTAGAATGAGGAAACTATGTCTCCTAGTGAAGCGTCGGCACAGGTCTGAGGGTAGCCAGGAGTATCTGCTCAAGCTTAATTGTGTTTAGTGAAATGTCTTCTTTGTTGCATAATGGCGGCTTCCGACAGGGCTGCAGGTCGCCTCTTTCGCCGAAATCTTGCCCGACGTGTCAGTGACAGTGTTGCGCTAATTGAGACCTATTCACACTCATCGGAACAAGCAAGCTCTAGCGATTCTAGTGAAAACCACTGTGATGCTGTCTATGAAAAACTAGTAGCATAGGAAAAGAAATAACACCTTTGTGCTTAGAAGTACCTTTATAAACCTCGGGAATAAAAAAAAAATACTGGGTAAATTACTTGCTATGTGTTTGTTCACATAAGTGCTCTTCCTGTGCAGTGTCCAAAACACACAAAATAGTTCCTGACTGGAACAATAGCAAATAGAATAAGTGCTCACGACCTCTAACGGTTTTAAGACTGTTCGGTCCTGAGGTCACTTATTTGTCATTGATTTGTTTTCAGTGAAACTGTGTATTTTTGTGCAGCATTTAAGCAATCCAGTACAACCTCCAGCTCTACACCTCCTTGCCGTAAGGTTGCCAGTAAAACTGTATAAAAGGAACCTGAGCCTGAAGGTATGAAACCTTTCGGATTGCCTTTGATAGTTGGTTTTAACAATTTTATACAATGCTCCTGTTGATGGTTCAGGTTTCAGTCGGCACACCTTGGAAATTCTACACATGATCCGGCTGAGGCTTGATAACCTGAATGCCCTGATGGGCACTGTGTTAGAAGCTGTGAACAAGCACAAGGAGGACGACGACAACTTCCCCGTTCAGGAGCCAACTGGAAGCTACAACACCTTCATGGAATCTGAGTGCCAACTACAGGCTAGCGAAGCCATGAGAAAAAAAGCTGGTAAGTGGAATTATGGAGCATTTGGCTAGATGCCATGGAAGTGCCTGGTATTTATATAAACCTGTTTTTCTGTGACACAGGTAAATTGGTTCGTGGGACTCGGAGGGAAGACTGTAGGGGCCACTACTCGTCGACTGCTGGAAGCTCTAATGACCCAAAACGTTGTGGTGAATTTCAGCTGGAAAGGGCAAAAGGGCAAGGCGAAATTCCAACAACTGCAGTGTGTTGAGCTCATTTACCGTAAGTACACAACACATTATGGCAATGCTTTATTGAAGGAATGGTGTTTGGAAGTAGTGTTTTTTTCCCCTAAATAACCAATAAATATCTAATATATGCTCTGAAAGCGCACAACAGTTTCACAGTGTGATCAGTTGGCTGGCTATAATAATGAAAGTATTTCTGATAATACTCAATCGCCTCAAGGAAGGGATGAGCATACTCATGCCATTGCTGCGATTTCGCCCTATAGCTAGCACTCTGGGTTTTGGGTGACTAGTAATAGCAAACCTTACAACTTTTCAGAGGCTGTAAAAAGAAACCCCCGTATCACAACGACACGTCACGACATTGAAGAGGTAATCAAGACGTGGCTACGACACGCGGCGGAGAAGCTCAGGAAGCTTGAGGAATCTGGTCTTGGCAACATCCCCTAACTTTTTATTAGCATCTATATCCATGTATAGTGTGCATCTTCTTTAATTCATGCTTATTTTTTTCTTTTCAAGCCCATCTTCAGGTAATACTTGTTTGACCCGCAGCCACAATTACACCACAGAACAAGTTTTGTTAGTTTGTCATTATCATTTCCAGTTATTTTAGTGTTCAAATTCTAGTATCTTTATCTAATATTTTTTTCTCATTATTTATAATGAATGCCTCTTGTCTGCAGCTAAATGAGAACTTGTTAGACCAGCAGCTACAATCGCACAACACGAGAAGTGATTATCATTTCGTTATTTTATTTTTCAATTTTAGCACTCTCGTCTTGTTTGATTTTTATAGTTTCCAGTCATTTTGCTTAGGAGCCCTGACAAGCCGAAATTCATACTTTCTTTGTCTAAATAAAAAAAAATAGAAAAAAAAATCTCGAAAGAAGCATTCTAGCACGCTAACAGACCCTTTAAAAATCCCAGTTCTCGTTTCCCGTCTGGGCTCCTCCTTTCGTTTATCTAGGGACGTCGCAGGAAGCCTTGTCGCTGTCATTCCTCAAGGATTTCCCATGACGTCCCTCCATAACCGAAAGGAGGAGCCCAGATGGGAAACGAGAACCGGGATTTTCAAAGGGTCCGCTAGCATGCTAGGAATTCTGTTTCGAGAGGAAATTATCTTCTTAGGTATTTTTTTTTTAAACAAAAAGTTTGGCCTTTAATTGATCCAGAGTACTGTTCTTGCTTGTTCTATTCAATAAATATTTTGGCTGGTACTTTCTGCCTACTCTTCTGTTAAAATAATTATAATTTTTTGTGTGCGTTGGTTTCATGGTTCTGAAGGAGCCTGCGCAGCATCCATCGCAAGCCAGGTCAGCATTTGCATGGGTGACCCCAAAAAGGCCAGTCAGCTATCAAGCATCGCCTAATGGTACTTTTGAGACATGGTGCCCTGACCACATGCAGCAAACATTAAAAAGAATAAGCACCCCAGGTGAATGAAATCAGCTGTATGTTCTCAGCAGTCGTGTCAAAATTTGTCACTATATTTTTCATTTTGACTAATTCCGTAAAATTAATTAAGTCAGCTCTTTAAATATTGGTTTAAGAGCTGAACTGTGATTAGCAATGTTGTAGAGCATCAGGAGAAAGCTACAATTATACTGTTTAAAACAAGGTGTGGTTTCTATAGTCCTGTTTAAAAAACAAAAAATACCTCAGGAATTTTAAAACGCCCTTTGACCACCGACCTTGCAATAGCGGTCTGTGTGCCTTGGTTCATGGGTGTTTTTTCTTGCCTTTCAAAGAGGACTAGTCAGAGCACACACTGTTGTAAAAATCATAATCGATCATTTCTTATGACATTCTAGAACTTCAAATACCACTTGAGCTCCTAGACCAATAAATAGAAAGTTGATCAATTAATTTTACCAATGAAATAAATAGGGACATTTTCTGAAGATGTCTGCGTCATCATATAGTTGCTTTTATCCGTCTAATGTTTCATTATTTCATGAAATTCGCTGCATGTTATCTGAGGCACCCTGTATATATACAGGGTGTTTCACGAAAGGTGGACAAATTCGATATTGTGAAAACTACGCGTCGCAGCAAAAGAAGACATTATTTTCGTCCTGGGCCAGGGGCCCATTTAAGAAAATTATTAGAGTCGGGGATAATTAGATTGCTCATTTTTTTGCGTAATTAACTTTTTAATATTGGGCATGGTTTCAATTAAACAATTGCTCAGCATCGTTGAAAAACACTAAATCGACAAATTCAGAACGATAGAATGCACGCGCAGCATTTTACGGCTTTCTGAAAACAGCACAAATTCAACAAGCTTTTAAGTTCCGGTTTGCTATCAGAGCGCTTCTCGGCCCCGACGGCACCGCGCCCCGTAGAGTAATAGTGCAACCAGCCTCTGCTGCGTCGGGCAATGACAGCGCAGCAAAGGTTGGTTGCACTATTTCTACACGGGGCGCGGTGCCGTCGGGGCCGAGATGCGCTCTGATAGCAAACCTAAACTTAAAAGCCCGTCGAATTTGTGCTGTTTTTCAGAAAGCCGTAAAATGCTGCGCGTGCATTCTATCGTTCTGCAATTTGTCGATTTCGTGTTTTTCGATGATGCTGAGCAATTTTTTCATTGAAACCATGCCCAATATTAAAGAGTTAATTATGCAAAAAAATTAGCAATCTAATTATCCCGTTCACGATAAGGAAAGAGGGACATTTAAGACAAACAGACAAGACAGGCTTTCGCAAAGCCTCTTGTCTGTTTGTCTTAAATGTCCCTCTTTCCTTATCGTGAATTAATAACCAACACGCTCAACCATCTACATAATTATCCCGGACTCTAATAATTTTCCTAAATAGGCCCCTGGCCCAGGACGAAAATGACCCGAGTTTTTTTTGTTGCGACGCTTAGTTTTTGCAATATCGAATTTGTCCACCTTTCGTGGAACACCCTGTATATTTCTGAACTTCATTAAGGATCAAACGCTTCCTTGACGATATGCACTGACTGAACCAGTAGGGTGCCTTTATCCCAGAAAGGTCCCCATGCAGTCCTTAGGGCTGGCAACTCAGGATGTTCTCAGGACATAATGGGTCTGGACAAAAGATCATTTGAGGATCATTCGAGACTCTTTCAGGATGTCCTCGGGACTACCCATCATCCTGGACTCGACATCCACAGTACATCCTCAGGATGCCATTGCGTTGACTGGAATTTATTTTCCCTCCTTGTGCCCCAATCTCAGGTAAAAAAAAAAAAAAAACTGAGACTGGCGCACAAGGAGGGGAAAATAGGCTTCCTGCTTCTACCCCAGTCTCGAGTTAAAAAGCAGCATGGTAAATTTCCCCCAGCTCGACTGAGCACTAAGGTAATTTTTGCGATTGCCACAGTCTAAATAGAATACCGTTCGTCTCCTACCCCTACCTACCTCACCCCCCGTGGTCAGCGTGTCCCGCATTTCGCTACCAGGAAGGTAGTCACCCTAAGGGAGATCCACTGGTGGGTCTTTAGAAAATACGTTAGCGTGACCCTTGGGAAACGCCACCCCCTTTAGGAAACGCTAACGCTGACCCCTTTTTTGTTTTGGCTTTCTATTTTGCTTCCTCTCAGTTTTTGCTCTCTTTTTGGTCTCGTTACGGGGTCAGTGTTTGCGTTTCCCAAAGGGGCACGTGCGTGGCGTTTTCCAAGGGTCATGCCAACGCATTTCCTAAAGATCCACCGATAGATCTTTCTTTAATTTTTTTTTTTTCTCGGCGGGTTTGCGCAAGACGCAAACTGAGGCGAAGCGGGCTTTTTGAGCCCGCTTCACTTCATCCTGCGTCTTGCGCTGGCCCGCGTCGGCTTGCCATTTCTTGCGCGGCGTTTCTGCCAGCCGAGCATGACGCTGCTTCCGCTCCTCTGTCTCGTTCGCCTGCAAGTTCAGATCCGCCCCAGCATCCGCTCGCGCATTGGCTTCCGCCAGGTGACGTCACCTCCCTCTCTAATCGCCGCTCCGCGCGCGCATTGGCTTCCACCCTATGACGTGGCCTCCCTCTCGCCTTTGTCCTTCACTACTCTCCTCCTCTCCACGCGGCGCGCTTCCCTTTCGATTGTTTTGTCCGAAGCTTTTTCCCGTGACGTATGTACTGATGCTAATGCGTTAATAGGGAATGGACCTTTTGTAGAAACATCGGTTCGAGTGTAAAGGATTCTAGTACCCTCTCTCTCTTCGTTCTGGCCAAGCAGAGAGGGAAGATGGTTTCTTTATGTCGACTTCGGGGCAGAAAATAAGATGGGGACAAAGCCGAGTTTGGGGGAGCCGTATCTAGGTGACAGCGCCTCAATGGGCGAACAGGACGTGGCTGACGTTTTGGGTGTGGAACGGGTGGGAGAGGCCTTGCGCGCGCGTTGTTTTCTCGCCACTTAGTCTCGAACCCAGTCGCGTGTCTAGGTGGCAGCACATATTCGCCGAAAGGTCCATTGTAGTAGACCGTTTCCGCAGCCCGCTGAGCACCCGGATAGCGCTCCGTAATCCGCCACAAGACCTTGAACTATGCAGAGAAGGCTTGCGGCGCACATGCGCAGCTGCGGCGTTTTCTTCGGGAATATAGCGGAGGAGAAAAACGGTCTACTACAACTCCCTAATAACACCGCACAACAGAACGTTTCTTCAACCACTAAGCAAAAATGAATGCCTGGTTCGCTAGCTGCCACTGTCCCTGATGCCCGTTATGCGTATACCATTCGAAATTCTTTCTGTAACAAAAAGGAATCAGGGCCGCTGGACATACCTATGTGTCAAAACGCAGTCCAGTTGTATGTACTTAGTGTAGAACAAAACAAAACTGTGAGATTTTTTTTTTTTTTAATTCTGGAATTTTTTTTTTGGGGGGGGGGGGGGGGGGACACAGTAGGGGCAAAAGGGGCACGCTTACCAGAGAGCCGCGAGCCGCACTTGAACCATCGAAGAGCCACATGCGGCTCGCGAGCCGCAGTTTGGCCACCCTTGCGATAGGACCCTGCTGCTTCGTGAACGGATGTAAGCCGCGTTTCAGCTTACGATGGACCGCAGCGGACGCTACGAGCCATTGCAGCCAATCCAATGCAGTGTGAGTGTCACATGACCTTCGTAAGAGGCGCAGCAGTGACGTGCAACTCAGGCAAGAAGGTAGAGCAAGGGAAAGGAAGGCAGACGAATCGCTGGAGAGAGGAGGAGGTCTCTCCTCCTCTCCCTCGCCCTACCTTTTTGAGCTGTAACCAACGTTACTAGAACACTCAGTTGGGAAACTCGCCGTCGAAACCTGGGCCGCTGGCGTCCACCGAGACCGAGCTAAATACGACAACAGCGCCACTCTTCATCATTTGTCTGTACTGTGGTCACCTCGTGCTTTTAGAAAGCATGTTTTTGCGTAAAAACAAACGGAAAAGACACTTTCTGTATGAAATTGATTGGAGTTTAATACAAAATGAAGGGCGCGTGATGTTTTTATAATCTTTTGTTTGCAAGGTTTTGGGAAACAATATTGTTTTATACAACTATGCCTCAGCGGTCCTTTCAGGTAGAGCGTCCCGACCTAGGTGCAGTTTAACTTCGGGAGTAATTCTTGGCGCGTCCGCTGGGGAGACGGGGGTGGCACCCCTGTAACCTATACAGCTGTATCTGTTTCGGCGCCAAAATGGCCGATTAAAGCCAAAATAGAACTGCAGTTCTTCGAGTGGCCGCTATGGGAGAAATGGCGGCGTTGTGTTCGCCATTAGCTCGGTTCT